TCTCATCTTCTTCCTCAAATGCATCTTGTTCAAATGATTACCTTTACTCAACATTACCAACACCTTCTCAACCCTACACATCTACTAATGCGCACATGTAATGTGCTAAACCAATCAAAACGTTTAACAAGTAAAGATTTGATAACGATAAACTAAATAAACTATCTCTAATACTTTTTTAGTTAAAGCAATAACATCCTACCATGCAATAGAAATTTTACTATAGATCTAAACAATTTTGATCCATTTTTGAATTTCATCGTAGATGGCCAGCACAAGAGCTCCTCCGGTACTACGGAAAATGTTCGACAGTGATCCCTGAAAGGTTCAATTGAATCAACTCAAACATGCAGATCACTGACTCACCTTGTACATTGCAGCAAGACCCTCATTCTTAATGATCTTCGTAGCACAATCAAGAGTGTTTTTGTATAGCACATCGGACCTCCCAGACTGCATCATCATCCGTCGACGCACAGTATCCCATGGATATGAGGTGAGACCTGAGCTGACAGTCACGACCTGAAATACGGCTACTCTATGATGGAAATCCCACAGAAGTTTCAAGGCAACGCCATCATTGTATGAAATTGCGCAATGACTCTTTGATATTCGTTAGAAAGTTGCATACAGTCTTACAATCGGAAACTACGACCAGTATTCAAAGTGAGAGTGACGCGCCTCACCTTTTCGCGCGGGTGCTAATAATGGGAATGGGGTGGCGAAGAGGAGCTTCATGCATAGATGGGCGACGAAAATAGGCGATATTTCAAATATATTTTTAATGAGTGCGAGAGCTAGCTAGTGAATTTCAAGTGTACCTCTCCGCGAGTAGAGAGTGATAGGTACGAAAGGACAACCGAAAAGGGAGTAGTCTCGGGCTACATGCCACCCCTCTGGCTTAATCTAGATATAACTCTACCATCCTGCGCGTTGTTCTTGCACGAAAAAGCAATGGAAGAAATTGATTTAAAAACATGTGCAGCAGTTTTCACCAGAGACTGACGTTCGCCGACAACATAAACCACAAGAATGCGGCAAAGCTTAACGAAATATAATATGAAACGTACTTGAGCCAGAGCCCATGCCAAGAAGAAGTTCAATTTCTTTCCTTCAGAAGCGATATAATACTTGGCAGTGTCGAACATTCCGAAATAGGCGGCACGGTATATGATGATGCCTTGTACGGAAACGATGAAACCTCTGAAAAGTCAAGTCATGAAAAGCAACACAATTTCATCACAATAGTCATTTATCTGCGTTCAGAGACGTATAGGCTGC